GACATGATGTGAATTGGAGCTATAGAAATAAACTGAATAGAATAGAATTCCTAAACTCATCCTCTATCAGCTTCATGCGGCTCACTGAGCAGCAGCGACCGTCCCTCCCATCCTGTCCGTTTGGCTGCTGCTGCTGTTTGCTGGCCTCCATAAACTCAGCCCTTTTCTGCCCATTTTCAATCTCCTCTGAGTCAACTTCCATCCATCTCCTGTTAGACGGTGAAGAACCTCCAGGGAACTCCTCCCATTTTTCTCCTCGTCTTCCTGCTAACCTCTTTCTTTCCTTCATCGCTCTCCTTCTTCTCCCATAGATCCCGTTTTCCTGTTTCCCCCCCAGTTTCTTGCACCGTGTCTCATCTGCTCCCCTCCATCAGACACTTGGGCTTTTCTCCAGTTTCACTGCTTCTCAGCCAAAAACATCGTCTCACCGCGCTGCTGAAAGTTAACCCCTCACTGCCTGAATTTATAAAGGTTTTATATAACATTTGCTGCCAGCCTGAAGTTAGATGAAATAAAGGTTATTCGTTAAACATCGGAATTATGATTTGTGTAAATTTAGTTATGAAGCTATTAAAAGAAACAAAGCATCTTTGGATTAACGCACATTTTAACCTGAATATGCGGACACTTTATTCATGTCTGTTTTTCTCAGATTAGACATAAGAATTCAGTCAAACATATTTTTGAACAAGCATCCATTTTTTTACCGTCTAAGTATTTTAAATTGACCCAATCTATGGAAAGTCAACTCGCTACACTTTTCCTGGCCGTTGTTTTCAACAATAAAACAATTAGGTTTCTTCCTGTTAACTGGAGTTTTCCTCCCCACTGTTGCTGCATGCATGTTCGCTGCGAGGGACAGCTGAAGAAAAGAAAGAAGAGTGGAAAAAAATAAACTTTATTGATCCCACAATGAGGGAGTTTCATTCCCGTAAGCTTGGCTCCTTGGAGGAGACCAGTTTAAAGTCCTGCAGAAATCCTGGTACCACATCTTGTCTCTGGCCCTCAACCACTGAGCCTTTCTGCCTGCATCTGTTCATGTCTGTCTGAGCACGCTTCTGGACTGGTGGGACTCTGAACCTGCCTTCATGCTCCGTGGATTCCTGGAACCACGTTTCTGTCTGTTCTTGCGTGAATCTGAACCCGTAATCGACCTGTGGTTGTTCTTGACTGTTCCCCTGACCTGCCTCAGTCTTTCACCGGTTCCACAGAGGCTGCTGCATCGGGAACACTCTGGGCGGCTCAACGTTGCATCTAATTTGCTGTCCATCGACTGCATCCTGCCTCGTTCTAAGGAGATGGACTTAACTGTTAAAGCAGGTAAGTGACTCACACGGATGATCATCTTCCGTCAGATGATCGTGGTCACTTACCTGTGTTTCTCCCTCCAGAGAGTCAGTGATGGTTTGCACGGCGCCCCCTGCAGCCGCTGTGGCCCGTAGATCCACAGTAGCTCTGGGCTTCAATTCTGTTTGTCCATTTAGTTTTAATAAACGTTTTGAACTTTCCTACTGACTGTCTCACCTTGAATACTGGGTCCATCTGCCCCGTTTATGACAGGTTTTCCTCACACCAAAACTTTGAGCCTGTAATCTGACTGGATGATCTGATTGATCTGGATCTATAAAGTGAGCTGATGTTTGTTGATGGCTGTCTCTATAGAAATGAACTGAACTGAAAACTTTTGGATGAAGAAAAGCAACTCTGAAAGGAAGAGAGTCGAAACAAAGCGACATGCAGAAGATGAGGGAAGCGGTCAGTTAAAACGGCGAAGCAGAACTTTTCTGGAAGACGAAGTGAAAGCACGATGTCTGAGTGTCTGTGTGCTAACTCACGCTAGGTGCGATGCGCTGCAGCTGCCTGAGGGTGATGCGGTTATACATGGTGCTGATGTCTTTTCTTTGGTCATCGTACTCGGACACAGTGATCTGTAGAAGGAAATAAAAAATGGCTGAAACCTGCACATGTGCAAGCACCAGCATGCACGACTGCACATGTGCAGAAAACATCCAGCTCACATTGGCCAGTTGGGTCTCCAGCTCGATAATCTCCTTGGACTTCTGCGTGGCGTTGTGAGCGCCCAGCATGCTCAGCAGGCGCTCCATCAGGGCCTTGTATGCCGCCAAGATCTGGAAAACACAGAGAAATCAGCTCTGAAAGGCCGGAGGGCGCCACGGCAACAGCGGCGCTAATGACTGGTGGAGGTGGTGACATGTGGCAAAGTGGAAAGGATCACAAAGGCACCATGGGAGGCTGAAGGAAACAGGTGGACTGATGAAGAGGAGCGGTGGGCCAGTCCATAGGGC